AGTATACGTATGCTCGCCAATTCCTCTTCGGATTTCTGTGATGGGAATTTTTACGACCTTAAAACATCCTCTTTTGCTCTCCTCTGTTTCGAAAGCACTTCGTTCGAATGTGGGAAGGGTATGGTTCTGAAAGTTAGTATCGGATGCTTTCCTCAACTTTAAATCAGTCCGAAGACGTTTTAAGCTGTCAAATGCATTATTTATCCAAACGTTTGATAAGTATATTGCTATATTTTCAACGCTGCTCTATGAGGTAAGGCTGACTTGTATGACCACCTAAACAGGACACGGAAATAGAAAGGCTCCGCCAACTTAAATTAAGTGACCTTGCGATAAATTTAATGAAGGGTAATTATCCCTGTACCTTAACCGTAATATAAAAATAAACGGTAACCCTAATTTTAATCCCAGCTCTTCCCTAAACCTACATCTTATAGGTAACACGAACCCAAACTGTAACCCTTAGTATAATCCTGATCCTAGCCTCAACTCTGACCTTAATCCCAACTTAACCCTAACCTTCAAGCTCATCCTCATCTTAAACCTACACCGAATTGCCCGAAAACATAGTGCAAATCCACATGCATTGTGGGCGGTTCTAGTTCCCGTGTCTTGCTTAGGCGGCCACACAAGTCATACGTATCCACTATGGCACCAATAATAATAATAATCATAATAATAATAATACCAGACGGTTCGCACAGTCGTGTGCCCGCCCAGCTTATCATACTAGGCCAAATGCTGCACAGAACTCATAGGGATAAGTAATAGTAGCAGCCCTCAGGCCTCCGAGAGCAGGCCGAACTTTGAGTCATAAAGGTTCGGACCCTAGACTACACATGACTGTTTTATTTGACCTGTAGGACCTGTGTGCCGTGAAAGAGGAACGTGCCAAACTCAAGGTCCAGAATTACATCATGCAAAAAGAGCTGCGCGCACTGCAATTAAACCTACAGGGTCGACACCTCTCTGAGTCCATGCTGCGATCGCAGCTCGCGGCTGTCCTGCCGGGTGATGATCAGACCGGTGCTGGCGGTGGGCATACTGCGGCTACCAGAAAAGCGATCGAAGCCAATGGCGAGGTAAGCAACCGTCCCTCCGCCCCCCGCTGTCCGCCGCAGCGGCCTTCACCAAGCGCACTTTATGACCA